AGGAAACTCAGCTTCGTGAGCTGATTCTCAAACCTGCCCTTTGCTATCCCCCCCTTTCGCCCGGCCTGATCCTCGAACTGTCTTTGAACAGCCCGCCCGGGGGAGGCCCGGCGGGCGGACCTTCCTCGGAACTTTTAGCAGCTACATTGCGAGTGGCGGGCGGTGCTTCGATCCCAGGACCTCAAGTGGGTCGGGGACGACGTGGGGTTGGTGGGGTGTATACTTGTTTCCCCGTTGTCCCGGGGAGGCAGCGAAAAATGTATACACCGGGATCCCGTATACACCAGGATCCGCTTTCCGGTGCAAGCTTCAGGGCAGGCCTGGAGAACGCGTTGGTCTTGTTTCCTTTGCAGTGGCCTGCCTCGGGTTGGCTTGGCGATTTGTCTCCTTACCGTGGCCTTCGCTAGGGTTGCTTGTTTGTTCCTCGAGGCTCCCTGGCTTTCTTACAGTGGCCTTCCTCGGGCACCTTGGTCTTGGTTCCTTAGTTCCCTAGTCTTCGTTCCTTGCTGCCTTCCTCGGGTTCCCTGATTCCTTTGTTCCTTGGTCCTGGTTTCTTGATTGCTTAGTCTAGGTTCCTTGGTCTCGGTTCCTTGGCTTCTTGATACCGTGGTCTTGGTTCTTTCTTCCCTCGCCAAGCAATGCCAGGACTTGCAACGCAATGCCAAGCAATGCCACGCAATATACCGAGCAATATGCCAAGCACTATGCCTGGCAAGGAGCCCATGCAGCAAGAGGCTCACAACATTATTGCCGATTTTGATTGCGATTCCACCCGCGGGTTCTGAGTTCGGTTTCGATCTAACGTTGCCGATTCCAGTCGATTTCAGTCCGACTGCGATCCCCTTTTTCAGCCCTCCTCAGACTTCCTTGCCAACGCCCTCCCGTCAGCGTGCGTGCGGCGGCGGCGGAGGAGGCAGGATGAGAAAGGAGGAAGAGGAGGAGAGAAGGAGGAGGTGGAGGAGGAGGTAGAAGGCATGAGGATGAGGAGAAGGAGGAGGAGGAGGAAGAGGAGGAGGAGGAAGAAGAGGAGGAGGAGGAGGGTGCAAGAGACTTGAATTCGTCCGGGGGGCTGAGGTGGCCCAGCACTGCCTCTGGCGAGCAGGACGGGCGGGCGGGTTCGAGGGCCTGGGCTCGGCAAGCTGTTCTTGTTGTATCTTTCGGCCTCTGGGGGAGCAATTCCTGGGCGAAGAAGTGCGCCATTTGGACTGGAGGGGTCCGGGAACCGATTTTTTGAACGGAGTTAGCTTCATTCCCCCCCTCCTGATCGATGTTCTGGGGTCCCAGCCAACTCAGGCCCCCGGCCGTCTCCAGCAACAGGCGGCTTCAAGTTTTGGGCTTGCCTCGAGGCGCAGCAGACGGGCCAACTCTGGGAAGGCCGCTGGCTAGCCCAGGCACGCCCCGCCGACCACAGAGAACAATACTTAAGTCGGGCATGTCCCTCTACAGGAGGAAAATTCAAGAATTAGTATAACAAATAATACAGGGTCGATGTTTTGACTAAGTTTGATGATGGTTTTTGTTGAATGAGTATGTTTTGGTCATTTTTTAGTTTTCGCACAAAATACACCTGTAGGGGGACATGCCCGACCTACAGTCAACCCGCACAGCAAGGATGGGCAACTTCACCAAGGGTACCCTTGCATCGTTGCCTCCTCGGTCCATCCTTCGCCGCTTTCGCTGGCCGCGCCCCGCTCGAAAAGCTTCGACATGGGCGTGCAAGGCCCTTGCATCCTTCTCGCGCATCCTCGCTATACTGGTTGACTGTGAGGCTAAAGCCCCGGCACGCCCCGCCCACCACAGAGAACAAGACTTGGCATGCCGCTGGTGGCGGCTCGGCTGGGCGCTGCCAGCAGGCCCAGGGACTGGCTCCACACCTCGGGCCCTGTCGCCTGGCTAGGGTTCAGTCAGGCCTGTCCCTCTACAGGAGGGATACATTCCATAATGGTCAAAAAATAGTCAGGGGACGACTTTTGAAGTATTTTTGAACCTTTTTAGGTGCATTGTGTGACTACTTTTTATCTTTCGTCCAAAATCCGCCTGTATGGGGGCACGCCCGACCGAAGGCCAGGGTTCATGCGGCGACGCCCATGGCCCGCCTGCACCCCTCGGCACCAACGACTTTCGGCGAGGCGCTGGCAGCTGGCAACTGGCCTCTCCCCTCCTCAACGTGGCGGCGGTTGCCTGGATGGCATCCTTGCACACGCCCTGGCCCACAGGTCTATCCATCACGTGTCGGCCCTCGGGGACCTTTCCATTCGCCGAGGTCACGAGTTTCGTGAATGGGGTCCGGTCCTAGTTCTTGCCGAGCTCTTTCGGTGCTACCGCAAGGTGCCTGACAGGCCGAAGGGGCACCGAAAGGCTGGGGGAAACTTGGCGAGGCAACGAACGCGTGAAGATAGCTAGCGCGCAACGCCACCCTGGACCAGGACGTACTGGGATTTCCGCATGGCCATCTTCACTTGACGCCGTCGTCGACCGCCGTGACATCTCTTCACGCTCCGCGCTGGTCTACTCACGCTCCAGGCTACACAGGAGGGGGACCTTTCCCTAGCGCGCATTCTGGCCAAGGAGGCCGTCGCGTCCTCCGAATTGACATGGCCGGCCTTGTTCAGGAGGGGAAAAAACAGGTGACGTTGTTTCGAAAGCGCGCGCCCAGTCCTGGAAAGGAATGCTTGCGCGGCCCATGGGGAAGGGCGGCGAACTGGTCAGCGGGGTCGACCCCGCGAGAGGACCTCGAGAATTGGAGAGGCTGGGGGGTTTCTACGAGGCCCCTTGCCTTCTGAGAAACCCCGGCGCCTGCGTGAACGCCGATTCTCCTCGCGCCGCCTGCTTGTGGGCGCCGCCGGCGGACCGTCTCCATGCGCCGTTTCCTCTCCCCCCCGGCACCGACGCCGATGTTCCCGCCGCCGCCGCCGCCGCCCCTTTCGCGAAGGCCCCTGCCGGGGGCCCGCGGGCGACCCGGGGGGGAAGCGGCGGGCGCGGGGCGAGAGCGTTTCGGAGCTCACGCAACGGCGGTCAGCGCCACGTGAATTTCCCCGGCGGGCGCGCGGGGCTCTGGGGGGTCGCCGCAGGGGAATCGCGCCGATTCGCGAAATCTCGAGAAAACTTTCGGCGCGGAAACTCACGGAATCTGCGCCGGCCCCCCCCGCGAGGCCCCAGGGGTTTCAGTTGTTCTTCCCGAGAGATGCACGGAACCAGCGGAACGCCATAGAATCTCGCAATGGCATCAGACAGAATCCGCGGCATCCCGCGGGCCCCCCCCGGCGGATGCGCGGAATCCATAGAATCTCTGCTTAGGGGGCCGAACAGATTCTACGGGCTCTCGCGGAATTTGTCCGACGGACGCGCGGAGTCCACGGAGCCCTTCGAAATCTTTGCTTGGGGGCCACGCGGACTCCGCGCGGCCCCGCTGAATCGCGCCGACGGACGCGCGGAACCTGCGGAATATCACGGAATGGGCGCTGGCCCGCCCTGTGGAATCCACAGAATTTCATTGATTCCGCCGGGCATGTGCATTGAATCCGTCGTGTCCAGGGGAAGTAGCGCCATGAGACCGCTCGGAATCACGCGGGACCTTTCAGGCGGGTGCGCGAAATCAGCGGGGCCACGCGGAACGCTTTGTCGGCGTTGGTAGGGGCCCGCGCAGGATGGACGGGCGCTCGCGGCATCTGGCAGACGGATGCACGGAACCTGCGGGGCCCCGCGGAATTCGCGTTGGCCCCCTTGCGGAATCCGCGGAACATCGCAGACCCCCCGGACGGACGCGTTGAATCCACGGAATGAAACAGCAGCTGCGCCATGGAACCACGCGGAATCCCACGGCGTCTGTCCGACGGATCCACGGGCCCGCCAAATGTCGCGGAACCCCGTCAATGGGGCCCCGCTTAGTCCGCGGGGCCAGTCCGACGGATGCGCGGAATGCGCGGATGCGCGGAACGCGCGGAACCTCGCGGAATCCATCCGAGGGGGGCGCGGATTCCGCGAAATCCCGCAGAACCTCCGTTGGGAATCAGAGAGCATCCACGGAACCTCGCGGCGGGGTTCCGACGGGCGCGCGGATTTTGTTGTATTTGCGAAATCAACGCAAGGGGCTTGCACGGAAACATTGGAACATCGCAGAATCTTGCCGGCGGATACGCGGAATATGTGGAATATGACAGGGGCTGCGGCGCGTGAGATTCAACGCTTGCATTTCGAAGTGTACGACATGGCCCACCATTCTTTTTCTACCCTATCAATGTTTCGCGAGTCTGGGCTCGCGAGTGGTTTAACTCGCGTAGAATCCAACGTGCAAGTGGAGCATTGGGTTTTCGCGATGGAGGTTTTCAAGTTAACGTTGGTTCTGTGTGCCAGAAGCCTCGTCGATTTCGTGGGCTACTCGCACTGTCCTTGGCATCCGCAGTTCAATTTTCAAAATTGCCCCAGGCTGATATTGGTTTTCGTCGCGCAGTGACAGTCAAAGTTGGAAGTTGAATGAGATTTTGATTGCGTGATTTTCCCAGTATCAAACTTCTCAGGAGCGCTGGGGTTGCCGTTGCATTGTTATATATACACATACATACATATGTTGTTGTTGTTTATCCATATAAACACGCGAAACATGTTGCATCGACCGTGAAGCTTCCCAAGCTTGCTTTCTTAATTGCGCCAACATCATAATGCATCACAGCGTCGAGGTCCAGCCCGAGTGCGAGTGGGGCAACTTGCTGTCGCCATTTAGTTTTCGTAAATGAACGTTCTACATGTTGGAATTGTTTTATTCCGATGCGTAGATTGCAAGAATTACGCATGGAATAGAAAACTGCCCCAGTTCAGTTTTCGAAATTTATTTGTTTCGGGTGCGCCCGGATAGCAGTGTGAATTATGCTGACATTTGACGCGCGTGGTGGTCCTGATTTGGCTGCGAAGTTACAACTGTCTTGGCGAGGGCATTCGTTTTGGCAGTTTTCGAAATTACGCGCGCTGGCCCGGGCGAGGTTCGTCGCGGGCGTCGGCGCGGCCGCGCCTGGCTCGCAGAAATCCGTTGGCGCGGGCCGCGTTTGTCGCGCGCTGGGGCGCGGCTGCGCCCGCTGCGAAAATCGCGTCGGTCCTGAGGCGGTCCTGCCGCGCGCGTTCCGCGGGCGCGCCGCGCCCGCGCTGCACTTCGCGTCGGCGCGGCCCAGCGTTCCCGCGCGCGTCGGCGCGGCCGCGCCCGGCGCGCAACCTGCGTCTTCGCGGCCGCGCGACCGTCGTTAATCGAGTCGGCGCGGCCGCGCGCGCGGCTTCGGTCAATCGCGCCGACCGGGGCAGTCGCGTCGCGCGCGTCAGGGCGCGGCCGCGCTCGCCGCGTGCATCTCGCCGGCGTTGGTGCTGTTCTGCCGCGCGACATGGGGCGCGCCGCTGCCCCCGCCTCGCCGGCCGCGCCGACGCGGGCAATTTTGTTCGCGCGCGTCGGCGCGGCCGCGCCCGGCCTGCAAATTGCGTCGGCGCGGCTGCGCGCGCGCTGTAAAACGCGCGGTGGCGGCGGCGCGCGTTTCGTCCATCGAATTGGCCCGGGCGCGCATGCGGCGCGCATCTCGTCGCCGCGGGCGAGTTGCGTCGCGCGCGCCGGCGCGCCTGGGCCCCGTTGATTAATTGCGCTCGCGCCGCCGCGGGCGCGGCACATCGCGTCGGCGCGGGCGACGTTCATCGCGCGCGCCTGCGGGCCCGCGCCCGGGGCCCAGTCCGGAGCCCCGTCAAACTTCCAAGTGGGGGCAAACTTTCTTCAGTTTTTTTCAACGTTTTCCAGATTTCTTTCGAATTTCCAAATCGGGGCGCACTTAAAAAAACTTTCTCCGAACTTCTAGATCGGGGCAAACTGTTCAAACTTTGTCAAACGTTCAATGTGGGGCAAAGTTTGTCCAAACTGTTTGCTCGATTGTTCTTCAAATTTCTTTCGAACTTCCAAATCGGGGAAAACTTTGCCCACGCTGTTTTCAAACTTTTCCCGAGCGCCCAAATCGGGGCAAACTTTTTTTCCAAGCGTGTTTCTTCCCATTGCGTTTCAAGCTTGTTTCTAGATCTTTTCTTGATTACCAAACTTTGCTCACTTCTTTTGAGACGGAACTTGTTTCGATCTGTTATGAAACTTCTAGGGGCGCATTCCCCATGCGTTGTTTGGATTTTTTTACAGAATTTTCAATTCGGGGCAAATTTTGTTCAAACTGTGCTTCTATTTGTCCAACTTTTTTCCAAACTCCCAAATTTCCCAAACCGGGGCAAAGTTTTCAATTATTTTCACAAGTCCAAATCGGGGCAGACTTCCTACACGCGTGTTTTTTATCTTTTGCGGAGCTTCCAAATCGGGACAATGTTTTTCCATTTTTTTTTTTTTTTTTTTTTTTTTTTTTTTTTTTTTCCGATCGTTTTCAATTTTTTCCCGAATTTCCAAGCCGGGCAGAATGGGCGATGCGCCCCTGAGCATGGCCTTCGCAAAATTTCGTGTGTTCGGGGCGCGATTGGGCGGGCTGCGGCCCTTGGCGCCGTTCCGGTTCTTCTTCGGCGCGTCAGGCGACCCACTCGAGCGTGACCTGGCCAGGCCCCCGAGAGCCTGGGGCAAGACGGATACAGTGAGAGAGGTTTTCGTTGGGCGCTCGGGATGTCCGCGTGCTCCTATTCCAGGCTTCCAGGGAGGAGTCGAAACACCTGGGGTCGAAGGGTCGCTGTCGGCGTATCCAAAGTGTGCACCACGAGAAGGCACATCGGCCTTTCAAAAGGCGCGAGCCTGCCCCGAGGCCGACATATAACTGCGTCACGTCTAGGATGTACTCCATCTGCATGGCGCTTCCACTTCTCGAACACGAACGATTCGAAGAAATCGCCCGCGCCCCGGGCCTTGATGTCGCGCTGTACCTTGCGCCCCCACCCTCTCTGCATCACGTCACGCTTGCCTCGTGCAAGGGTAACATGGTAGCGTTGCCGCTGGCTGGCTGGCCGCGTATGTTATGCTCTCCGACATTTGTGGCGCCCCATGTGCGCTCTGCCAGGCGAATCTGTTGTTCTGACCCAAGCAATGTCGCAATGAGCGCGCTGCCCAGCAGGCACTTCAGGGGCGTCCACGATTGACTCCTCCACCATGCGCGCCCAGCTGGCGAACCTGCCCCAGAGTTTTTTGTTCCTCGTCCTCGCGGCCCGGGAAGACGACGCGACTGGTCAGGTAGTCGACGGGCTTCGTGTGAGGAGGGCGCGACTCGGTAGCAGTCTGCCGCCAGCTGTCCGCCGTGAGGTGGAAGCCGTCTGTGGGCACGCGGGCAGGCTCCTCCACCGCCAAGTTGTGCACCGGCGCATCCTGATGGTCCACGCGGAACCCCCGGCGGCGCTGGGGTTTCCTACAGCCGGTCCACTGAAGAAAGAACGTTTTTTGTTTGGGAGGGGCTCAGTGTTCCTTCATGATTGCACAGTTCGTCATATGTTTTTTTGGGTGTTCTATGGGAAATCCAAGTTTAACTTATGGGAAACAGGGGCCTCGTTCCTCACTGATGGTGCCTTATGACAGCGTTTCGATTGCATTACTGATCTTATTCGGACGCGTGGTCCGAGGGAACATTCGGGGCGTTGCCAGGCACCGCACTTACCACTCACGGCAGGACCCCCTGCAGCGTAATGTGGAGCCAACAGCGCATTCACCATGGGACTTTCAGCGCTGACTCCACTCTCACGTTTGGCGCGAAGTCTTCCTGAATCAGACCACAGAGAGTGTATGAATGAGGAACCTCTTGTCCCCCATCGTGCAGTCAACCGCGTGCGCCGCTGCGTGAGGATGCTTTCCCCGACCTTGCGGGGGGAACCTCATCTTGATCAGCTGCGACGGCTCCACGTTCCTTTCCGCCGCCACGAACCAGGGGTCCCCTGTGGCGTGAAGGAAGCCCGCCAACGCCGCCAGCTCCTCCTGGCTTGGCGAGTCCTTCACGGTTTCGGCGCCATGTATGCCGAGACCCGCGGCAATTGCCCGCCTTCGCACGGATCGTGATAGCCGCGAAGTTTTTGAACGGGCCCATTTTGCCAGTCTGCAGCGCTGCCGCGGGCACACGCTCAAAGGATGTCGACTGCACGTGCCTCCTCGCAGCCATCATTTTGACGCCGCTGCTGCCATCCTCGCTGCGCCCTGTGCGCAGCCACAGCGGCTGCTGCCTTCCGGCCGTTCTTCTTCAGGTGCTTGAAGAGATTGCTCTCCTATGGCTGGGTGACGTGGGTCGCGCACATCGTCATCACCGAGGTGTTCGGGTTCGTCTCGTGATACTCGTTTGTGTATATCTGGGCCTGTGGGCTCCGCTTCTCGGTGCTCGCGAAGAAGATCTGCGTGTCGACCTGGCTGCCACCCTTGCTTCGGCACGCCCGCTGCTCCGCCGCCGCTGCTGGTGGCAGGTGCAGCAGCATCATTAGCTGCAGCAGCAGCAGGGCCATGAGCCTCAGCACGGGCCCCTTTCCCCTTAACCCTTGCACGCCTCGGCGAGCGCACGCGGCATCGAACTTGGCCTGGGAGGCGGCAGGGCCCTCGCCGAGCTTCTGGGCGGCGTCCGCGTCGGCAGCTGCGGCCGCTGGCGTTGGCTCGTGGCCACCCGCCGCCAGCTCCTTCCTCCTCTGCGTCGGAGCCTGCCGCTTTCGCCACTGCCCTGGCTGTGCCTCCCGCCAGCTTCCACTTCTCCTGCAGCTCCTTGCGCAGGTTGGGGCGGGACTCCGTGTGCCCCAGCAGCTGCGCCTGTCGCTCCTCGGCCGAAGGGTTTGGGCCAGCGGCGCCCCGTGGACCTGCGGCACCTGCTGGCCCTGCTGCTGGATCGGCACCGTGTCCTTGGAGGCTTGGACTGCCATCCCTCTCCGCCACGCCTGCGCACCCTTCCAGCTTGCGCTCCAGGAGACGCCCGTCGACGTCGAAGTCCAGGATGGAGTCTGCCTCGGGCGTTTTCTCCCGCAGCGCTGGCCCCGTCCCCTCGACGGACTGCAGTGGGCCTCCGGGGCCCGCTGCGCGACTTGTCCGCGTAGGCGGCGTCCTCCAACGCCGTTTGTCCGCTTCTGCTCCGAGGCCTCCCTGCGCTTCGAGCTGCGGTCCAGCTCGTGCGTCGCCCGGGCCGGCGCTGCCTGCGTCTTCTGCTGGTGGCGCTGCGCCTCGGTGAGGGCCTGCCGCGGCTCGGCCCGGGGGTCCGGCGAGGGCGGCGGCGCACATCCCTTCTCGAGGCCCCGCAGCTCCTTCGCCGTGGCAGGGCAGCCCTTGGCGATAAGCGCGATGCCTCTGTCCATGCCGCCATCCTTCCCACTGGCCACTGCAGGCGTGGGCCATTGTTCCTTGTCCTTTCTTCGTGTCAAACACTCCTCGCGGCCATGCTTGGTCAATACATCCTCTGGTGTTCTGTGGTCAGACCGCAACGAAATCTACAGCTAGCCCTGCAGCCGATGGTCATTTCAAGCTATGCGTCGGAGCTAAGACCAAACTGCCAGGGTTGGGCCAGAGCTGCGACGGCGGCGAGGAAGTGGTCTCCTCGTCATTGGCCCCCACCCAGCAGACGTAGATGCACCAGCCCTTCCGCTTGCGGAGCCAAGCCCCCACAATCTCCACGTACCAGATTCGCGTCCCGACGACCGTCATCCCGCCTCACCGCAACTGAATTGCAGGTGTTGCCGCGAAACGAGTGCTTCCCTGGGAGCTCGCACAGAATATGGACTTGCTCCCGCAGGGCAACACACACGAGGTCTGTGCACGTACCAGTGCAGACACTTCCGCCTGGAGGCTGGGCCCCCTCCCCCCCCCCAGGAAAACATCTTGAGCCAGAACGGCTCTGGAAAAGGAGGAGGGGGGAAGGATAGGGAGGAGGACAATGCGGTGGGAGGAAGAGAGGGGTTTAAGGATGATGATGAGGAGGAGGAGGAAGAAGAGGAGGAGGAGGAGGAGGAGGAGGAAGAGGAGGAGAAGGAGGAGGAGGAGGAGGAGGGAGAGTTGGAGAAGGAGGGGGAGGGGGAGGGGGAGGAGGGGGAGGAGGGGGAGGAGGAGGAGGAGAGGAGGGAGGAGGAGGAGGAGGAGGAGGAAGAGGAGATGTTGTTGCAGGAGCCCTCATCGTTTGTTCCTCCTCTTCCTCCGCCTCCAGAGGTTTCTGGTGCCTCGGGAGCTTTCCGAGGTCCCCAGAGTTTCCAGGAGCTCCCTGGGAGCCTCCGAAGGTCAACCCCGGATGCCTCTGGTGCGCGCGATCCCGATTTCGTCCGATGGACTATCTGCCGATCCGTTGACGACGTTTCAGTCACAGGGAGGGTGGGCCCGTGCTGTGGTGACCGAGTCATCGCGGAGATATCTGGCGATGGGCCTCTTTTATGATCACCTCATCCTCCCCTCTGTGCTCGACCGTCCCAGCGTCCCGGCGCCAGGTCGACCGCCGACGCTGCTGCTCTGTCCCGGTTTTAGTGCGCTGGAGTCGAGCTTATAAACTACGTTGGCCGTAACTTTTGACGCCCGTGGAAAGAGGAACAAGAAACATTATATCTGATGTCATTCCCTTCCCTGAGTGAGTGAGGAAGACGAGGGGGTGCAGGAGGACGAGCACAGGGCCAGAGCGAGGCGGGTGCACTTTGACGATCAGAGACATTTTGTCGCCTCTTGTTCGACGAGGAGGAAGGCAGAGGGAGGGACGGTGGAGGAAGGTAGTTGCTGTTTAGTCAAGTGGCTGTTGTGGTGGTTCTCCTCTCCTCCCCCCTTCGCCCCCATCTTTCGCTGCGAGCCGTCTGACTGTGGCTTCGGAGGCGTCAAATGAAAACGAAAAGAGGAGGAAGAGGAGGAGGAGACAGGGAAGGCAGGATGACGAGGAGGAGGAGGAGGAGGAGTGACGGGGGGGGGAGGGGCGGAAGAAGCAGAAGCAGGAGGCGCCCCCGCCCCAGGACCCCTCCCAGCGGTCACCTTGGCAAGCTTTTCGAGCCGCTTCCAGCCGTGGGTCCGAGAGCCTCCAGAAGCGGCCAATTACCCTGGCGAAGGACCCCACCATGTGCAGTTGTGGGTACCGCAATTGTGAATATCTTCTTCGGTGAAGCCCCCATATGGGGCCACGAAGCGCTGCACTGGGTGGGGGGAGGACGCATGCGGGCGGTAGCGCTGGGCCCGTCGGTAGAGCTCCCCATGGGGCCACGCAACGCTGTACTGGGTGTGTGAAAATGCCAAATTCGGTTTTCGGGACGCCTGCGGACGGTCCCACTGGGGGCTTCTGTGGATCTTCCTCTGGGGCCACGACAGTTTTGTATTGGGTGGGTGAAAGAATGCCAAATTGGGCGTGTGGGACCCATGGAGGCGGTCCCACTGGGGGTTTCGGTGGAGCTCCCAATGGGGCCACGAAACGCTGTACTGGGTATGTGAAAATGCCAAAGTAGGTTTTCGGGACGCATGCGGACGGTCCCACTGGGGGCATCGGTGGAGCTCACTGTGGGGTCACGGAGCGCTGTACTGGGTAAGTGAACATGTCGGGACGCATGCTGGCGGTCCCACCGGGGGCTTCGGTGGATTTTTTATGGGGCCACGGAACGCTGTATTGGGTAGGTCAAAGTGCTATATTGTGTGTTTGTGTGTGAGCGGGACGCACGCGGGCGCTCCCACTGGGGGCTTCGGTGGAGCTCCCTATGGGGCCACGAAGCGCTGTACTGGGTGGGTGAACATGCTAAATTGGGTTTTCAGGGCGCATGCGGACGGTGGCACTGGGGCTTTCGGTGGAGTTTCCCATGGGGCCACGAAACGCCGTACTGGGTGGGTCAAACGCAGGGAGGAGGGAGGACGGGGCCACAAAACGCTGTGCTGGGTGTGCGGGACGCATGCGGGCGGTCCCGCTGGGACCTTCGGTGGGGCCCCCTTATGGGGCCACGAAACGTTGTGCTGGGTGGGTGAAACGCAGGCTGGAGGGAAGACGGGGCAACGAAACGCTGTACTGGGTGTGCGGGACGCATGCGGGCGGTCCCACTGGGACCTTCGGTTGGCCACGAAAGGTTGTACTAGGTGGGTGAAAGGCAGGGAGGAGGGAGGAGGGGGAGGGAGGAGGGAGGAGGGGAGGAGGAGAGGAGGAGGAGAGGAGGAGGAGAGGAGAGGAGAGGAGAGGAGAGGAGAGGAGAGGAGAGGAGAGGAGAGGAGAGGAGAGAGGAACGCGGGGCACCGTCTCTTCAAAACGAGGACCCAACACCACATAATGGTTGGGACACAGTTTCAAGACGACGACGTCGTCGACGGGGCAGGATGGGGTGCGTCCATGCGTGGGTCGACGAGTGCCTCCAGAAACGCCCCAAAGACCTCTAGACTTAGGCGTGCCCTATAATGTGTTCGGGAGGGTGAAACAAACATGTTCGCGGCCAGATGTTCGCAAACGGTTGGTCAACGGTTCGGAACCATTTGCTCGCGAATTCCAAGTCCCAAAGGCCCCTAAGGGGGCTTTGTCCACGGCTGCTCGGTTGAGGGGGGGAGAAAGGATGTTCAAGGCAAATGGTTCGTAAACAGTTCGGGAGGCAGCATTCGCACACGATGTTCAGGTCAGCCTTGGCTCTGGACTCCAGAATTCAGGAGTGAAACGAAAATATGGGAAAATATGGGAAGTGGGGGGGAAGACGAAACTCGAGAACACATGGGAAAACGTTGGGAATCCTGGGATGTGTCTCCCTTTATTTGTGTGTCCCTGGGCACTTTCAACGACGTCGTCCTCGCTGTCGTCGACGGGCAGGCCGGGATTTTCATCCTCCTCCTCCTCCTCCTCTTCTCCTCCTCCTCCTCTCACTCGGCGTCGTGCGCGTCTGTCCCGCCCGCTGTGTAAGGAAGAGCACGGTGTTCAAGTGAAACCGTGTCCTCGTTTGTGCCACGCCTCCCCAGCCGTGCCAAGATGTCTTCTAACCTGGTCTTAGGTGCGTGACGGAATCCGTGTTTTGACCTCGGGTGTTGAAGAATGTTGTCCGCTCGCATCTTTCCCGGCCTTAGCTCAAAAAAACACCCAGACCCGATAACCGGCGCTGATTTGTTGGCCCTGGGCGTTTACCAAACAGCCCTGCCCTGTTCGATTCCTTTTTGGGGTGCGTCTACTAAACGGCCTCGCGTGTCGGGGTGATTATTGCGAAGGCCTGACGGCTGGTGCCGCCGACCCTGAAGAGGACCACGCAGTCGGCGACGAAGTGGGCGGAGACGGAGGCCGTGGAAGATGAGGAGGAGGAAGCGAGGAGGAGGGTGAGGATGAGGAGAAGAAAGAGGAGGAGGACGAGGAGGAGGAGGAGGAGGAGGAGGAGGAGGAGGAGGAGGAGGAGGGAGGAGGAGGAGGAGGAGGAGGAGGAGGGAGAAGGAGGGCTGCTCTCTCTTACCGCCCGCTGGCCGGACACGTGCGTTTGGCCCCTCCGAGCGTGGCACGCCGGGCGCCCGGCCGCTGCGTGCCGGGGGCCGCCCTCCGCCGGGGCGGCGGCCCCCCGAGCCGAGCGAGGGGCGGTCCCAGAGATGCAACGCATGGAAAGGATCAAGACGGAGGCGTTTCGCCCTTTTCGGCCTCTATGGGGGTCCTCGCCGGGCCCCAGGACCGTCAAACAACGACTCAGGATGAGAAACCGGTCCCCGGGAAGGGGTCGAGACTTCTGGGGACCCCGCATTGAAAAAATCACGGCATCAGATCTATGGGGTCGCCGCCCCGCCAGGCAGCTTCGACAAGACCGCCAAGATCTGGGACTGCAACACCGGGCAGGTGCTCCACACGCTGAAGGCGCGAGGGGCCACCATCACAGGGGGATGCGAGGTCCCTGGAGGCGGGACGGGGTGGGCACGGGTTGGAGTCACAAGCTGGCCCACCACCAGGAAGGAGCATCATGGCTTCTACGTTCTACGTCAGCACACAGGACTGATCCACTGACGGGTCCAATTCATCCTCCGTTCACTTGCATCAAGTTCATGCGAGGCAGCATGCTCCCCCCTCGCGTTGTGAACAAAATCACGACGGAGGTTTTGGGCCATGTTCGGCCTCCCGGGGCCCTCAGCGGGCCCAGGCACCGTCAAAGAACGACTCGGGATGAACAACCGGTTCCGGGGAAGGGGTCCAGGCCTCTGGGTGCGACCTTGTGACAAAAATCACGACGTCGAGAGTCTGGGGGTCGGGGCCTCCCAGATGGCGTCGGAGTAGATGGGGTCGGAGCGTCGCGCCGCATCGCCGATGCATCGCCGATGCGGCTCGATGCGGAGGCTGATCTTCTCCACGCTGGCGTCGCCGATGCATCGCCGACGTCGCTGATGCATCGCCGATGCATCGGCGATGCATCGGCGACGCAGTGCAATCCTCGGACCCCATCTACTCGGACCCCATCTAGGAGGCCTCTTGAGGGGGCTGGGATTTTCTGAAGTCTTCTGGGCCTTTCCTCGGTGCTCGGCGGTTCCCCAGGCCGGGGGTGCACGCCAGCAGCTGCGCCTCGTCGAGGGCTTTCTCTTGGGTGCCAGAGTCGTTCCAAACGGCTGCCAGAGAGCCGAGTTTGGGCCCGAAAACTACATTGCACGGATATGGGGGGATAGACATAGGGGGGATGCATCGACCCCCCGTCGCCCATTGATCGCCGATATGGGGCCCGATAGCCCCAACCTGCCCAGGAAGGTGCGGATTGATTATCGGAGGCCTATCGCCGATTTATCGGCGACGTATCGCTGATTCCAGGTAGACGCATCCCCTCATATGACAGTCGCCCCGTGTCGTTGCCCCTCAGAAGGGGGGGGGACGGGTACGGGTACGGTCAGAAACTTTGGCTCAGCGTGTCGCGTCGCTGGTTCTGGCCCACCGCGCGTCGGCGCGACACGCTATCCACTTTTCCAGTCCCAGGCGTTAACGTCCCGAGAATTTCCCGACCTCCCAGTCCGCGGAGCGGAGCGACACGCTATCCGCTTGCAAGGCGTCGCGCGTCACAGGGGCCGCCGCCGCGACACGCTGAGCAAAAGTTCCTGATCGTAAGGGTGGGAGGTCCGAAGGTCAAGCCTTTGGACATGCTCCAGGCCGTGTGGGCCTCAGAGTTTTGGCCAGAAAGCCTTCCTGGGGGCAATTGCTCGGAGCGTTCGTGCAAGAGCATGTCAGACTGGTTGCACGGCAGTGTGATGTTCCCCTCAGAGGGCGGCCACGACGGAGTCGTAGACGAGCGCGAGCAAGAGGCACATCACCACGGCCCCACGGCCTCGGCGAGCACGCCACGGCATCCGAGACGAAGGCCGCCGAGACCACGACGCGAGCAGCGAGGGAGATCACCTCCGCGCCCGAGGACACGACAAGTCCGACGGTCTCTGCGGCGGGCCCCCGCCAGGAGCGACAGCGGCAGCAGCAGCATCTGCATCGGCGACCGCCGCTCGACCACAGCCTTCACGAGCGCAAGAGACGCGTGCGGATTGGCCTGCGCCGTCCGGGAGTTGTCGTCATCCCAGGCGGCATCGGTGCACGAGCCATGGAGCTTCCCGCGTTCGGGCGAAGGACGGTGCTCCGACCTCGCGGCGGATCGCACTCATGCTTGCGACAGGTCGGCGTCCACGTCAGCTGCACCCAGGATCCATCAACGATTCACGATGCACGGCAGCCAGGCGTCGGGGTCGTCTTTCTTCTGCAAGTGCCCTTGCGAGTGCCCACGCCCGTGGTGCTGGGTCGCAGCCTGCACGGGCCCACCGTTCACGCAGTCGACCACGCGTCCGCCGACCACGGCATGGCCTGGCGGAGAGAAGGAACGCCGCGTGGGGCCAGCATGGGCGCCCGACGCGGCCCGCGGCCCCTCCGTGCCCAGCGCGTCCCCCCTCGTCCTGCCCTCCGGTCTCCGCTGCTTGCGAGACGGTTTTTGTTTAGATTCAGGCGAGTTGGTTTGCATCCCCCGGGGGGGAGGGCGGCGCGGCCCCAGCGAGCGAGCCAGAAGCAACTTGCACGTTTGGGGGGGGGCTCCATGCCGACGCAAGGGCAAGTGCAAATGCAAGTAGAACTTCCAGGCAAGTTGATTTGGAGAATGCAGCGATTTGATGCCCCAACGGCCTCTTGCACTTGCACCCTGGGGGGGGCGGCGAGAATCACGCAAGTCGAAAGGCACATGCACGCTAGTACTTGTGTGAAGAGGTGCGAAGGGGGGGGGAGGCAAACGCCATACAAGTAAACTTGCCTGAATCTAAGACCCCCGACGCCGTCATTTTTTCGCAATGTCCACCCCCAGAGGCCTGGACCCCTTCCCCGGGACGTGTTTGTCATCCTGAGTCGTGTTTTGACGGTCCCGGGGCCCGCCGAGAGCCCCGGTTGGCCGAAAGTGGCCAAAACCTCCGTCGTGATTTTGCTGGCAGCGCGAGGGGGGCCTGGGTCGTCGCCTTGAGGCTCGCCGGCAGGGGCCCTCCGCCGTCGCGTCCGCGCCACCGCCCGCTCCGAGCTCCCTATGGGGCCACGAAGCGCTGCCCTGGGTGGGGGAACCGCATGCGAGAGCAGCCACTGGGGCCTTCGGTGGAGCTCCCTATGGGGCCACGAAACGCTGCCCTGGGTGGGGGAACCGCATGCGAGAGCAGCCACTGGGGCCTTCGGTGGAGCTCCCTATGGGGCCACGAAACGCTGCCCTGGGTGGGGGAACCGCATGCGAGAGCAACCACTGGGGCCTTCGGTGGAGCTCCCTATAGGGCTACGAAACGTGTGAGAGGTGTGCCGAGAGCAGAGGCAATGAGGGGGAGGAGGGAGGAGGGGGAGGGAGAAGCGGGAGGAGGAAGGAACGCGGGGCGCTGTCTCTTCAAAACGAGGACCCAACACCACAGGATGGTTGGGAAAAACATCCAGGCGAGCTGGCACGACCGCCGGCCGAAAGCGACCAGACGGGCCGGACACGACGGCAGGCCCGCACAGCGTCTGATCTGTGTGCCCAAGCGTATCTCGGAGGAGCGGGGAGCAGGAGACGCAGGAGCGAGGAGGAGGGGAAGGGCGAGGAGGACGAGGAGAAGCGACGAGGAGGACGAAGAAGGCAGGCGCGAAAGAGGAGCGAGGAGGAGGAGGGGGAGGAGGAGGAGGAGGAGGAGGAGGGGCGATGAGCAAAGAGGGGCAGTGAGGAGGAGCCCAGGAGGATGTGGAGCGAAGAAGTGGAGGATGAGGGGGAGGTGGAAAAAGAGAAGAAGTTTAGGAATGAAAACAGGAATCAGCAGTACGCAGCAGCATCCACAAGCACGCAGCACCAATGAGAAGCAAGCAGCGCCACATAGCATCGAGCAGTCGCGACTGACGGCGGTGGGCAGCATCAGCAACAAGGGGCTAACATTGAAGCGCTTTCCGGTGTGCCCGAGAGGTGTTTTGCATGTCCCAGGAGAGTCCACGGGTGCAGTGCACGGAGCCACCCCCAACACGGGTTTCGCATGCAGTTTAAACTCTGTCCCTCCAAGCTCTGCAAACCTGTGAAGCCCAACGCGGCTCTGGCCACCCTCCTGCCCCAACGCTCCCGCAGGTGGCCCGCCGAATCCAACCGCTTCGCGAGTTCCGCCGGCCTGTGGCGATTGGGGACTTGGTGGGTGGCAGTAGTTCTCTCAAGCAGTGTTGTGGAGCTCGCGGGGGGTAGAACCAGTCACTGGGTAGATTGAGGGCAACACTCAAAGGAACACGTCCCCACCCACATTCTACCATTTCAGCCCAGCAGCACGAGACTGCAGCATCATGTAGCGCATGGGGACTAGAGGCATATGTCTTATAATGTTCTGGGCCCCTTCGTGTGCTCTGGACGGTTCCTGTGGGCTTTCCTGGAACCTCTCACGGGGCTCCTTGAGGCCTCTTCGAGGTTGTCTTGAACCATCTCGGGCCCCCTAGGCGCTACATTGGAACTCTTTCGGCCCATCGTGGAACCTTCCACCAATTGATCCCTGCTCTTGCGCCGTTGTCGGGCCATCTTGGAGCGCTCCTGTGGCGGTCTGGAGGATGCTGCAGCCTTCTTGCAGCCCTCATGAGACCCTGTTGGGGATCTTCGGAGCGCTTGTGGAGCCCTTCTGGGCTCTACCTGGGACGATCTCAGGCGATCTTGGAGCCATTTTGAGGCTCAAGAGGCCCATCGGAAGCGCAAGTGTGAGAACGCCACAACCATTGAAAAACATGTTCTCAAATGATGCTGTCTTCTTCGGGAACTTGTAGTGGCCACTTGAGGGCTGTCTTGGACCTTTAAGGGCCACCTTGAGGCTATCTTGGGGCCTCTTGGTGCTGTCTTGGAACCGTCTTGGGGCCTGCCATCCATGATTATCCTCTCTTGGGACCTCTTGGAGCTCCTGAGGGGCGATCCTGGGGCTGTCCTCGGGTGTCCTGAAGGCCGCTCCCAGGAGTTCTGGCATCTCAGCTCCGACATGACCAGGGTACTTTTTCTCTGGGGACCCTCAGGGGTCCCTCCTCGCGCGCGCGAATGTGCAACATACAACTAGTAACTCTGAACCTCTGACTGGCGATTCTAGCATGGCTTTAGCTCGCTGGTCCAGGGAATTTCCTCCACCCCATCCTCCGCCTTGCTGCCCTTCCTTCTTGCCTTCTCTCTCCTGCTCCGCTGGCCCCGCATCCGTCTCCCGCTCCCCCGGGACCCCCGCCCTCCCCCCCTGGGCCTCGGTGGCTCGCTCGGCCGTCTGTGCCTCTGCCGTGCGCCCTCCGTGGCCCTCGCTTTTGTCGTCTTCTCCAGCCCTCCTTCGGTCCCCGCTCGCCTCTTGCGCCGAGCGTTGTGGGAGTTGGCGCTCGGCCCTGACCCACGTCCAAACACGGTAGGTTCGTGCGGCGTTGGCGCGCCCGCGACGCCGGCGAAGGCGTTCAAGGTTGAATTCTGCGACGCGGAAGCACCGGTTAACACAGTAACGCCACTGGAACCCGACCGGATTTACCTCGCACGATCGGGGTCGCGATCGATTCAAGAATGAACGATGGGCGCGGTTTCAAAAACCTCTGCGCACGCCGACGCCGCACGAACCTACCGTAAGATCCCCTTTCCATCTCCCGTCCGCCTTCCAGCTTCCCCCGCCTCCGGCCCAGCCATCTCCCGCCGCCCGTGCTCCTTCGGGAACACGAGCATCCGGAAACCGCCGAGAAGATCACACCGCCTCGGGGTTTCTCCCGAACAGCGCCGAGCTCCTCCAGAGTCTGCTCGAAGCCCTTGTTGCTCCTCCTCCGCCTCCGCCTCCGTTCCCTTCCTCCTCCTCGTCCTTCTTTCTCCTCCTCCTCCTCCTCCTCCTCCTCCTCCTCCTCCGCCTCCTTTCCCTTCCTCCTGCTCCTCCTCCTCCTCCTCCTTCTCCTCCTCCTCTTCCTACTCAGTGTCAGTCGGCCTCCGACGTCGTGGCTTTTCGCATGGCGTGGGCCTCCAGAGCTCTGGACACCCAGCCCCAGGAGCGGCTTCTCGCCCCACGTCGTTTCTTCCGAGCTGCCGGACTTATGCGTCTGTTCCTCCTCCTCCTCCTCCTCCTCCTCCTCCTCCTCCTCCTCCTCCTCCTCTCCCTTCGTCCTCATCCCCATCATCATCCTTCTCCTTCTTCTCCCCCTCACGGTCGGGAACTTTTGGATAGCGCGTCGCTCCGCCAGTTCTGGGCCACCACTCTTCGACGCGACGCGCCATCCACGTCCCCATTTGCAAGCGCCACTGTCCCGAGCCTCTCCGAGCCTTCCGCCCCGCGGAGCGGAGCTGCACGCTCTCCGCTTGCAGGGCATAACGTGTCGCCGAGGCCGCTGCGGCGACGCTGTTCAAAAGTGCTCGACTGCAGGCCCTTCCTCATCCCCCTCCCACCCCCATGCCTCAGAGGGGCACCAGACGGAGATCGTGTGCGTGGCCTTCTCCCTGCAGGGCACGCTGGTCGCCACTGGCAGCATGGACAACACCGCGAAGCTGTGGGACGTCGACTCGGGGCAGCTGGTCGGCACTGGACGGGCGGGACATCGATCCAGAGAGAGGTGGCGAAGGATCCAGAGAGAGAGAGAGAGACAGAGAGACAGAAAGAGAACCTGCTGCTTAGAAACTGATCGGATCGTTCCTCTGGATTCGTGGCGCGAGACGGCGGTCGCCTCGGACCAGAATTGTGAGCACGACCCGGGGTGAGTCCGATCTCATATGCCTTGGCCGACAATGCCAGGGAAGCCAGCGCGCGCAGTATCGATATATCGATCTGTCTATGTATCTATATGTATATGTGTGTATATATACATACACATATATATATATATATTCAGATCGAGAAAGAGAGAGAGAGAGAGAGAGAGAGCGCGACCCAGAGGGAGCGATCCAGGATACGTAACGATTCCAGCGATTCCGAAAGATCCTCGGGCACGATCTCCACGATGATGGCGGATGGTGAGCTGGCTTTTTGCGCTCGTGCATGTGCAGGCTTCTGGCTTGGGGTGCCGTCCTCGAGGGACGGCATGGCGCGCGCAGCAGACGGGGAGCACGAGGATGAGGAGCAGGAGCAGGAGCAGGAGCAGGAGCAGGGGGTGAAACATCAGCAGGAAGCGGAGGAGCACGAGAACACACAAGGTTGACCATGACAACTAAAGGCAGGGTTAGGAGAAGGAGGAGCACAAGGAACAGAAAGTGAAGAGGACGAGATAGGTGGACGATGATGAGACGGGCGATGAAAAGGAGGAGAAGGAGGGGAAGTACAAGGTGGAGGAGGGAGGAGGAGGAGGGGGAGGCGGAGGAGAAGCAGGAGGAGGAGAAATTAGCATGGAGGGTGCAGATTGGAAGAGGGAGGGTTTTCGACGAGAGAGAATGGTGGAGGGATGAAAACGGGGAAAGGGGAGTGCGTCCTGACAGATTGCGCCTCTTACGACGCCGGGTTGTGATGAGGGAGGCGGGCGAGTGGAGAGCGCGCGGGAGGAGGAGGAGGCAGAGGATAAGGAGGAGGAAGGGGGCAGGGAGGACGCAGGACGCAGGAGGAGCGGAAACCGCAGGAGCAGCCCGATTGTTGGAGGAGCAGGAGCTGCGTGAGCAGCACGAAGACGACGAGGAACTGGAGGTGGAAGAGCTGGGCATTGGCCAGGATGGAGCAGAAGGGCGAGGGAGAAGGGACGCTGGATGAGAGACGAGGAGGGGGGATGATGCCGAGGACAGATGCAGTCCTGACGGTTTGCGCATCTTGCTGCTGGTTGCGCGTGCCACGCTAGGAGGCTATGCCTCCGACTGGGTGCTGGTGGCCGTTTGTTCTCCTCCACCCTCATCAACCCCCAATCCTCCCCTTATCATTCCCCAATCAGCGCTTGCACTGAAGGCGTCCTAGCGGAAAACTGAAAAATTTGGCGAAAGTGTCCCGCCGATTTTGGTGGCCGGCTGGGTTCCCGGTTCCGGGTTCCAGGGTTCTTGATTATTGGTTCCTGGCCGATGTCGGTGGGTTCCAGGTTCCCGGGTTCTTGGTCGATCTCTTTATCGATCAAAACATCCACGGATTGGGTTTTTCTCTGGTGTAATTATCCTCATGCCCCTCCTCTTCCTGACCATTATACTCCTTCGTTCGTGTCATTGCGCAACCCTTCCTCAGTTATTCCCATCACTATCGTCAGTGTCCTCACCATCTCTGCTTGGTCTGTTTCTAAGTATCCTCCTGATCCTCATCCCGCCTCGCCCTGTGTTTTCTCCCTCGCCCCCTCATCCTCCTTGTCATCATCTGAGCTGTGCTGGTCGTATCCTCCTTCCCCGCTTTTTGATTTTCCTCATGATCCTCGTCCTCCAGCTTCTGGGAGACTCGCCAGGTCGCATCCCTGGAAGGACACACAGCAGAGATCGTCTCCCTTAATTTCAGCACGGACGGAGACAAGGAAAGCCCCGCCAGCGGCAGTGATCTACATTTCATATGTTTGCATCCCGTCTCCTTCATTCTTGGCTTCCCTCCCTCCCTCCCCCTCCCTCTCATGATTGACATCCTGGTCATCTCTGTCCTCTCACTCTTCTTCCCGCATGTCCTCCGCGGGTTCTCTCGTCTCCTGCTGCTGTCCTCATGCTCCCTCTGCCCTCTGCCTTCCATTTTCCCTCTCGCTCTCCTTCACCTGCTCCTCCATGCCTTCACCGCACATCCCCTTCCTCATCCTCATCCCGTATACAGGCGACGGATGAGGCAGAGGAGGTTGTGGAGGCGCAGAGAGAGGATGGTGATGAGGAGGCGGAGGAAGGTAAGAACGAGATGTCATTGGTGCGGCGCTCAGGTGCTACTGGGTGAACTATTTCTAGCTTCCCAGCGCTCTGAATTCCAGTCCTCGCCTTCTCATCCACCTCGTCATTCCGTACCTCCTCCCGCCCTCCTTGCATTATCTCTGTCTCTTTCTTTTTCTCTTTTTCTCCATGCTGTTTCGGTCCTCATCCACTTCCCTCGTCCTCCTCATCTCTTATCCCTCCCGCAGTCCTCCCTCTGTCCTGCCCCTCCTTCTCCCTCCTCGGCCCCCAGGGTGGTACCTCGGCGCTTGGGCGGGGTCCTAAGGGATTTGAGTTCCGTCAAGACGTGGCCTGCGTGGGGCCTCCAAGGTCTTTTGCACATCCGTACCGCGCATCCTTCCGATACGGGTTGACTGTGCTGAGCAGGCGGGGGAGGCTCTGCGGCGCGCGGGCTGTGGGGCTGGTGCCGGGCCCCGCCACGTCCCGCGCCGCGCGCCACACGCGGCGGCCGAGACGGCGCCAGGGCCCCCGACGAGGCGTGGGGCGCCGCGCGCGGCGTCGCTGATCCGAGCGGTCGGACGCCGCATGCCTTGTTCTTGTTCCTCGGCAGGGGCCAGCGAGGAGCCTGCTGGGCCTTGCGAAGAAACACGCGCGCACGACGCCGACAAGCAAATGCACGGGGAAGGAGCGTCCGAGCGATGCCGAGAGCTTGTGCCTGCTGCCTCTGCACCTCCCCCTTATCCCTGGCCTCGCGTCGCCCCCGGGCCTGCCTCCGCCGCCCCCGGCGGGGCCGCGTGCTCGCTCCCTCTCTCGGCGCCACGGGGCCTCTTCCGAGCAGGCGTCGGCTGCCACAGCCTTCAAATGCCCCCGGCGCCCTGCGGCTTGCCCCGGCCTCCTCGGGCAACAGGGACCGTGACCCGGGCCCGCGCCTGGAGGGGCCGTGTGGCCTCCCCGGGAGTGCCTCGGGAGCTGCACGGCGCTGGTGGCTTCGGCGCCTCGAGGAAGGGGCACCTCCGTGTGTCAATGCGCCACGCTGATCCCGGGCTGGCTGTGCTGCCCGGCGGAAGGGGACGAGGAGGGGAGAAGCAGGCAGACGACGACGAATGCCCAGGCGGGAGGCCAGGGCCGGCGGGGCGGGCGGGCAGGCAGAAGAGGGGCCAGGTAGTAGCCTCACTGAGGTGTACGAGCACCCCGAACCCTAGTAGCACGATGAAGACGTATCCTCACTGAGGTCCCTGTCTTCGCCCTTCGCACCAGGTACAGCAGCTCCTGTATAACAGTGCCGGATGTTTTTTCACGGTCCATCAGCGAGAATAGATCCCCTATCCCTACTGCTGTTGGCCCTCCTGACTTAGGTCCCCTCCGAAAGGGTGAGGGGTCCTCCTATTACTAATCACAGTGTCCCTGCCCAGGCCCTGTCCATATGGATACTTCCATGCTCGGTGCTGGGCTTCACAGGTTTGCTCACCATCGGTGCAGTGCCGCTGAAGGAGGCCTTCCCGACAGAGCACAACGTCCGCGCTCGTGCTACCGTCCCACCACCTCCCTCCTCGTCGTCCTTCACCGCCTCCTTCTCATGCTCCTCGTCTCTTATCTTTCCCCATCCCTCTGAATGCTCGTGCCCACATTACTCCTTATCACGTCGCCCTTCGGCTTGTCCTCCCTCCTTGTTCTGCCTTCTCCTCGCTTACCCCCCTCCTCCTTACTCATTCCGTCTTAGCCCTCACCGGCGTTGTCCTCATCCTTGTGTACTCCCTGCCATGGCATCTAACCGCATTATCATTTGTCCTCTCTCCTCCTTCTCCTTCTCATCCGTCTCCCTCCTCCCTCCTCCGTCATTGTCCTTATTTCTCCTCCTCCTCCTTCGTCCTGCATTTCCTCGCTGCGCATGCCTCCTCTATCCTCCTTTCTCCCCTTTATCACCCTTTATTTTCGTCCTCCTAATCCTTCCTGCCTCTTCTGCCGACTCCTTCTCATCCTGTTTCTCCTTCTGCTTCCCCCATTCCTCTTACCTCCCCCCTCTCCTTTGCTCCGCTGCCGCGACTAATTATACCCAGCTCAGGAAAACCCGAAAACTTGAAACCTCCGAACACGTCCGACAGCATCGGAAACATTTGAAACATCTCTGGAACCCCAGAAGGCTTCTATGTAGTTGAGCTAGCCTGAGGGAACATCCGAGAACAGCCGGGTCTGTTTTAATATTCGGAATCGTCTAGGTACCCCAGATCGCTTGGAAACGCCAGAGGGAAGCAGACACGCCCGACTGCCTGCGGATGCCGCCAGGACTTCGAAGAGGCCCACACGACGCGTAGAGAACAAACCGAAAACATCCATATGCCCCTAGATCTGTCCCAGAGCACGCTCTGACGAGAACCTCGAGGCGGATCCTGCCGCGGCAGCGACAAGGGCGCCCCGAGAGGCCCCAGAAAAAAAGTGAACACGCGCCCAAATTCGGATCTAAACTCCTCCCTCACTCCTCCTCCTCCTCCTCCTCCTCCTCCTCCTCCTCCTCCTCCTCCTCCTCCCCCTCCATCCTTCTCTCTCCGGGGATCTCCGCGGCCCCGCTCAGATACTCACCGGGTCCTTCGACAATACCGCTAGGGTGTGGGACGCGCGGGGCCTAGACCGCCTTTTGCGCAACTCCGCCGCGGCAGCGTCGATGTGCCCCGCCACTGGCGCAGAAGGAGACGGGGAGAAGAAGAGAAGGTGAAGATGGGCGTTGGCGAGGTGGAGGTGAAGGAGGAGGGTGGAGGAGGTAGGGGGCAGGAGGGAGGATGAGGAGGAGGGAGGCTAGAGTTGGTGGGTGGAGGAGAGGGGTCAGAGGACTTACGCGTGCACTATAAGCGAGCAGACGATCCACCAAGGAGCGACCGCCCCAGCCTCCCCAGGCTGTCCCCCTGGGCGCTGGCAGCCCCCTCTCTCGCAAGAACTCTGCTTCGGCAGTGATTGTCTGATGGTGCCGGGATCCAGGAGACCGTCCTTCTTCGGAGAAGGACAAAGTGCCCATGCCGCTATCCTTCGCCCGTTTCCCGCTTTTTGGGCCTTCTGGGAGGCCCTCGTCGCCACCGCTGGATTCGCCTCGAAATCTTTGTCAGAACGCACCCCGGGAGAGTTCTGGGGAGTAGCGGTATCGGTACCTTTGATTTCCCCGTTCCTATTGCCGAGAACCAGGGTGGTTGGAGGGGGAGGTGGCGGAGGGGGGCGAGGAGGCCTGTCACGTCACAACTGACGCCGGCGCGAATCGTGACGTGACCAGGGGGGAAGGGGGGGGGGGCTGGTCACCAACGTTATCGCGAATTTAAAAAGATTCGTATATGATTCGAACGGTCTCCAGCGTACGAGGAGCAGGAGGAGATGCAGGAGGAAGAGGAGACGGAGAAGGGACAAGCACGAGACATGGAGCAGTTGTAGCCTCAGGATTATGTCCAGCAGCAGCTACAGCAACATGACGGGGAGGAGCGGGAGAGTGGGAATTCGAGGGAGAGGGAAGAGAAGAAGGACGAGGAGGAAAAAGGAGAAGGGAACAGGAGAGAAAAATGAGTTAGGAGGAGGAGGAAGAGGAGGGGCAGGAGGAAGAGGAGGAGGAGGAGGAGGAGGAGGAGGAGGAGGAGGAGGAGGAGGCAGAGAGATGAGAGAGCAGGAGGATAATTAGGACCCAGTGCCTCCCCAAACCCGCGCTGAACACCCCGCCAGAGGGCCGAAGAGCATCCTGAAGCCCTCTTCTGGATGAAACCCTCCTCGCCAGTCGGATAGGAAGAGGAGGAAGAGGAGGAGGAGGAGGAGGAGGAGGAGGAGGAGGAGGAGGAGATGCAGAGGCAGAGGGACGGGGAGGGAGCAGCAGCGGGAGCCACGCCCATGTTGGTGCTGGCCTCCTGCGCGGCCAGGCCACGCCGAGCGCGCGCCGAGGTGGCCACGGGGACGTGCATGCACTCGCTGGATGGGCACAAGGGCGATCGGTGGCGGGGGGGCGGCCAGACGTTACCGGGTGTCCTCCTCCTGCTCCTCCCTTTTCTCCCCCTCATCCTCCGACCCCCTCCTTCGACCTCCTCCGACGACGACGGCGATGACGACGACGACGTTGACGATCTCCTGGGTTTGCTCTGCATGGGATTCGAGAGTAGAAGTGAGTTATTCGCTCCGCAGCTTTTCTCTCCTACAGGAGGGGGGCTTCCTGGGGCCCGGGCAGTGCATGGCCCTGGCGCTGCGTCCGCGACACGCCGCAGCCGGCGTGGTGGGCGCAGTGCTGCTCAGGCACGCCGACCTGGTGTATCAGACCTTCCTGCAGCAGGCCGGGCTCTGGCAGGGGGCGGGCCACGCAGGTGCTGAGGCGGCCGCCCAGGCCGCCTACTCCGCCGCGGACGCGGCCAGCCTGGCCGCCGCGGCGGCGGCAGCCGCTGGTGAGGCCCTGACCAACTGGAGTGGTCCGCCAGAGGGCGTGAGCTGCCCACAGGCGCCAGCCTGCACCTGCTCGTGCCCACAGTTGCCGGAGTGTCCACCCGAGGCGGACAAGGACGTGAGGGAGGGCGTGTGGCACCTTGCGGGAGGCGCGGTGGGCCACATCGTCCTGGTGCTTGGAGGCCGTCTCTGCGCCTGTCGACGACGAGATGGCGACCGAGCCCAGGCGCCGCCGAGCTCCCCTGCGGGAGTCGCGTCCGATGGCCTCGGCTCCCCCGGGCGTGCCGCGCTGGCAGGGCCTGGCCGCCCTGCTCCTGGAGACAGGGCACGCCGCCGTGGAGGAGGAGTTCTGCAATGAGCTCCTCGTGGGGAGCTATGTGGCCGTGTTCTACACGGAGGATGACGTGTGGCATGAGCGTCAAATTTTGTTTCAGGTTGACGCTCAGCACTGGGTGGTGTACACCCCCGATGGAGACATGTACATAGAGAACGTGATTGCTGGGGATCCCGACTCGGGTCCGTGCCGCGCGGCCATCCTGCCGGCCGACGGCACCCTCCCGTTCTTCCTCAGAGGCAAGACCTACAGGTTCCGCGACTACCCGGACGAGCAGCGGCTCCTCGAGCTGATCAATGAGGGGCACCAGCTCGCCGTGTCCGAGGGCGGGGAGGTCGTGGGCCCGACGGCGTACACCGACGCCATGGGGCAGAGGCAGCCGTTGGAGTGGCACGAGGGCATCTACCGGCGTGCGCGTGGGCGTCCGCTGCCGGCTCTGCCGCCGCCTCTTGAGCCCCCCGAGGGCGGCGACCTCCTCGTGGGAGGCACCCGCACTCCCGAGGTCCTCGACGCGGATGCGGAGCTGGTGAATGAGGGAGGCCGCTGGGTGTCCCTTGTCACGATCGGTTCCGTGCGCCGTGGAGACCCTGTGGAGCTCGAGACGGGAGACAAGGTGATGGGCGAGCTGGCGCTCCACCGTATGCCAAATGGTGAAGTGATCGCCGCGTGCCGACCCGACTACTTGAGCAAAGTGGTGGAAGGAGGTGCGGCTGCCGACGGCGGAGACGCCCGAGTGCTCGCCCCCGTCTCCTACGATCCAGGCGGGCGTCGCTGGTGTGACTTTGCAAATGCCGTCAGCAAGATGAGCACAGAGCCGATGGAGGACTTCCCCCTTGAGGGCGAGAGGTCGGCGCTGTGGCTCTTCAAGTACGTCCGTGACCACGGCGGCACGTTCGACGCCCGCCAGACCAAGTGGGCCACGGAGCAGAAGATCGCCATCGACTCCACCGCCTATCTCATCCACGACCTCGTGGGTCTGGCGTTGGATCTCTCGGTGTGCTATGACCAGTGCGATGGCGGCAACCTGGCCAGTGTTGAGGTGCTGGCGCGGTTGTACCAGCTGGTGGAGGAGACCAACGGGACCCTGCAGCTGGAGGGCCTGGAGCACTACGTTGGGCGTGACCCCACAGGCGGCCTGCGCCGCGGGGTCGCGCTCAACCCTGGGCTTGCACACTATGCGACCGACAAAAAGAGCAAGGAGACGGAGGTGATGAAGCAGCGCCGCAAGGCTCGAGAGGAGTCCGCGGCGGCCAAGAAGGTCTCCAAGGGTGGCGGCAAGAAGGATCAGGAGCACCCCTGAGAGAGGGGCGCACCACGGAGGACCCCGGCCGTGGTGCGAAAGTCAAGGGGTCAATTCACCGTCGTGATGCTGCTGCTGGTGCAGGAGATGGCCTTCTTCCTCTGGCCTGTCCTCGGCAGGAGTGTTACACTGGTGGCTGCACTGCGCTGTCGCGGGGCACGGAGCAACGTGTTCGGCGACGGCTCAAGGTCCAAGAGAGGACCGCCGAGACGATTCGAGCCATCAATCGCCTGGCAGGTTTTGACACGCCCGAGGTGGAGTCCGTCGGGGAGCTGACCGGCCCCTCCGCCCTGGTCTACAGTGACGTGCGGGCGCTTCACGCGGCTCATGCCCCCGAGCCGGTGAATTCGAACAGTCCGCAGGAAGCCTTTCATGAGCTTCTCGGGAGCACGCCCTCGTCGTACTTGGATGGCGATGAGGTCTCACCAGTTCGGCCCTACTCGCGCGAGTCGGTGAGCTGGCCCAAGAGGGGCAACCGCCCGGTCCCGCTGCCGACGAACGCGCCACCGGACCTGCTCCGGTACATGACAGAGGGCCAGCGAGATGTGTGGCTGCGGCAGCCGCAGGAGGTGGCGCAGGTACGGCAGGTCGAGGGCCTGCCGACATTGTACGGCGACACAGTTTTGAAGGATAATCGCGACGCCTACATCGGCTTCGTGAAGGATGGCCTTGCTCGGGGGATCTTCCGCCTGAGCCGCCGTCGGAAGGAAGCCGTCAAGGTCTTCTTTGTGAAGAAGAAGGACTCTAGCATTCGGATCGTGATCGATTGCAGACGGAGTAACCAACACTTTCGAGCCGCGCCGAAGGTCCACCTCTTCTCGGGCAGCAGCTTCGGGGAGGTCGAGGTCTCGGCGCACCAACAGATGTGGTACGCAGGGGGTGACGTTCAGAACGCCTTTTACCAGCACCAATTGCCGTGCTGGCTGCAGCCCTACTTCGGCCTCGACCACGTGCGGGCCTCGGAGCTGGGCGTTGCCGAGCTGGACGGCCAGGCCGCGCGGGGCGACCAGGTCCTGTACCCCCTGATGAACGTGGTTCCGATGGGGTGGAAGTGGGCCCTCTTCATGGTGCAGCGGATCCACGAGCATGTTCTCGATGGAGTTCCCGAGCTGGGGCCGCGGCGCCGAGCGGTCGACTTTCGACCTCCACCTCGAGTCGAGGACGGGGCGGTGCACACTGTGTATGTGGATAACGTGCTGATCGAGGGGTTCGACCAAGCGGAGGTGACACGACTCCGTGAGGCTGCCTGCGTCGCGCTGCAGCAGGCGGGCTACGCCACTCATGACGAGTCCGACGCAGCGGCGAGCATGGAGATGCTGGGCGTCGAGCAGACCGGCTGTCCAGGGCGTGTGCAGGTGTCTGCGAAGCGCTACTGGCGGTTGTGGCAGGCGCTGGAGTGGATCCGGCGCAGGCAGCCTCCTCTGAGCAGTCGCCAGCTTGAGCGACTGATTGGCCATTTCACTTTTGTGGCTCTCATTCGCCGAGAGCTGCTTAGCACGTTGCGCGCCAGCTACGATTTTTCCAGGGGTGAATTTACCAAGCCCCGGAGCCTGTGGAAAAGTGTCCTCCAGGAGCTCAGAACCATCCAGGGCCTTTTAATCTTTGCGTCCAGGGACTTGGATCCTCACTGGTCCTCGGATGTGTTGGCCTACGATGCGTGTGAGTCTGGGCATGCCACGGTGAGGGGGGCCTGGACGGTGGGGGGTGTACAGCAGGTGGGGAAGTGGCACGAGCGCTGGAGGTATAAGAATGAAGACGATCCCGCCCGTGCAAATCCCCGTGGTCACGCTCTGGGTAAATCTTATGACAAACAAACAGATATGGAAGATACGTCAAACAAGGAGATCGATTACAGTGATGTGTATCTAAACCGAGAATTCCCCGACGTCCCCCCCCAGCTTGTGGAGTCAACTCGGTGGACACTGGAAAGATATCAACCGGTGTTTACTCGTGAACCAATTCATGTTACTGAAATGCGGGGCTTCTTGGGATCTATCCGTCAAGCGGTTCGGGATCCTGGAGACTGGGGAAAGTCGTGGCTGATGTTGGGAGACAACTTGGGGCTCATCCTCTCGCTCTCGAAAGGTCGGTGTCGAGATCCTCGTTTACTCATGCTTCATCGTAAGGCAGCAGCGTGGGCTCTAGCTACCAAATCGAGATTTGTATGTAGATGGCTACCCTCTGAGTTAAACCCAGCCGATGGACCATCCCGCAAGAGAGAGCCATCGGCGCCAGCTACGCGACTACCGAGTGGGCCACCCCAGCCACCGGCGGACCGCACCGACGACCTCCCACGTGGTGCAGGCGCTCTCTCGTGTGCCGTTGAGGTCGGGCTATCCACTGACGGACAAGCGGCAGAAGACCGAGCCAGACATGGAGAGCCTCCGTCGTGCCAACCAGCCTCCTCCTGGGCATCCCATCCTGGGCTTGCTGGAGGCCAAGAGTGCGAGCCTCGACAAGGAGCGGCAGCTTCGGGAGCGTCGTGCTGCACGTCGGCAGGACGTTCATGGGCCGCTCCGGGACACGACGAGGGGACCAGGCATCACCGAGGAGGCCTCGCTGACGCAGAAGACACGAGATCAGTATCAACGACTACTTCACGATTTTCAGGAGCGGCAGCAGATGCAGGACTTGAGTGTGCATCCCGCCATCCTGGACGCGCAGATCGTGATCTACTTCGACAGACTTTTCCTGGAGGGAAAGGCCCCGTCAACGGGGGAGAAGCTCGTCGCGGCCATCCAGTACGTAGTGCCGAGCTACAACGCCAAGGGCATGATGACCTTGCCGCGGGCGACCAGGGCCCTGCGCGGCTGGCGCCGACTGGTGCCACGCCGCACTCGGCGGCCCTTGCCCTGGGAGGTGGTGACCGCCATCGCGATAGGGCTCCTCCGGGTCAACGGCCTGGGGATGGCGCTCTGCTGGCTTCTCATGGTCGACACATACATGCGGCCGGGCGAGTGCCTCGACCTCCAGACCAGCCAGATCCTACGAGGGAATACACAACAACACATGGAGCGAGCTGCGATTCTCTTGCATCCCGCCGAGAAGGGGATGCCCAGCAAGGTCGGGGCCGTAGACGAAAGTCTGATCATCAACCGGGCCTGGCTCTCCGATGCCCTGACCAAGTACGCAGCGAGTCGGCCCCAGCGGGGGCCCCTGTGGGACTTCACACTCAAGGAGTTGAACGCCAGCTTCCTCACCGCCTGCATCCCCGCGGGCATCAGCAGCCTGAAGCCGGTCCTCTACATGGGCCGGCACTCGGGCGCCAGCCTGGACAGGCTGACCAACAGGCTGGACCTCGCCGAGGTGCAACGTCGAGGGCGCTGGCGGACGGGAGCGTCGGTGCGCCGCTACGAGAAGCGGGCGCTCGTGCAGGAAGTCTACAATGGGCTCGACCAGGAGTCCAAGGCCTACTGCAACAGGAGCGCCAGCGAGCTGGAGGCGGCTATCGCTCGAGCCTGCGGCCACGTCAGAAGCATCAGAGGCGTGGGTTCTTCATGATCGAGGTGTTCAGTGGCTGCGGGGCTTTCTCCAAGGCCGCTAGGCGCCGCGGGGTGGAGGCCTTCCCCTTTGACGTCCTGCAGGGAGCCGCAGGGGACGTCACCCGCCGCCCAGTGCAGCGACGCATCCGACGGCTTCTGGCTCATCCTCGCTGTTTGGGCATCCTCCTGGCACCGCCGTGCACCACGTACAGCAACGCCCGGAGGCCAATGATCAGAAGTCGTGAATTCATCGAGGGCCTTCCGACGAACACTCCGTCGGAGCAGGCCCAGATCGCAGCAGGTACTTTTTTCATGCAGCTGACGGCCCAGCTCTGCAAGTTCGCTGTGAAGTGTGGAGTTCCTTGGGTGATCGAGAATCCTCAGACAAGTCTGATCTGGCATACTGTCGAGTTTCGCAGTCTTCGTAATCTTGCCAAACAGCAGTCGCTCACGACTCACCTCTGTGGTTTCGGAGCGCGGTGGAAAAAACCTACGACGTTGTGGTCCTGGGGTGTGGAGAACATGTACAAGATGTTGCACAAGTGCCCCAGTTTTGGTTGTCAACCCTGTATCTTCTCGGCGAAACCTCATATCGTGCTATCGGGACCAGACCCCACAGGGGTCCGCTGGACAAAACGAGCTGCTGCATACCCTCCTCGGTTTGCATCCGTCTTGGCCGGCCTCTTTCTCGACTCCGGTTTCACCAAGCTGTTGCAGGAATCAAGGCAATCTTATTTTCCAGTGGTGCCATGGGTGAGCGAAAGACTCAGACATGCTTCGTGATCGTGAACCGCATACGGAGTTTGCGAATTTCGGGCTGTGTACTCTGGGCTTCGCCTTGCACGTCCCTGGAATATCATGGCCGACCAGCTCGCCTTCGAGATTTTCAACAGATGTGGGTTCAAGAAAAACAGAATGGCACGATCGATGGGTTTGCTCTGCATGGGATTCGAGAGTAGAAGTGAGTTATTCGCTCCGCAGCTTTTCTCTCACCGTCCACAGGCCCCACCACCACCCTCTTTAAAGTGGCTCCCCCAAGTTTTTGGTGTCTCCCAGGGCCCTCCGAGGTCAACCCCGAGGGCCCTATAAATATAACGATCTGCGCTTCTCACCCTGGCACCACACAAGTGGGCTGTGTACTCTGGGCTTCGCCTTGCACGTCCCTGGAATATCATGGCCGACCAGCTCGCCTACGAGATTTTCAACAGATGTGGGTTCAAGAAAAACAGAATGGCACGATCGATCCTCCTCCTCCTCCTACTCCTCCTCCTCCTCCTCTCCCTCCTCCTCCTCCGTCGCTTCCGCCTCCTACGCCCTCTCCTTCTCCGTCCTCCTCCTCCTCCTCCTTCTCCTTCTCCCCCACCTTCCCTCTCCCTCATCCTCCTCTCACCAAGCTAGTTTCTGTGGGCACTGTTGGCTCAGCGCTAGCATCGCCATGGAGTTTCTCCTCGAGGCACGCTCACTTCTCCCCCGTCGTCCCCTTCTCCTTGCCCTCCCCGTCCTCCTTCTCCTCCAATCCCCCTTCTGCCCAGAGTCCCCGGGTGGAAGGGGATACCAGGCGTCCCTCGGGGGAGACGGCAGCTAATTCCGAGTCCCGCCCTGTGGCGAGGTTGGGCAAGAAGGAAATCAAGACGCTGACCCCGCCACGCTGGTACCAGCCTGAAGTTCATCCTCAGGGAAATGGACCGACGACGAACGAACGAACGAGAAATAAGGGCCTCTGGGCCAGACGGGCCCAGAGCCCACAGAGGGGCTGGGACACTGTGCATGGCGGGGCCCCGCGGGCCAGTGCCCGCGGGGGGACGCCGGACGACGAGCGAACGGGAGAAAAGGGCTCCGAGTCTAGGACCCAGCTGCGCATGAGACTCTGATCCCCCCCCGAGGCGAGATCTCCTCCACGCAGTTCGACTTCACAGGCCGCCCGCCGGCCGCCTGGTCGTCCGCGGCGCGAGTCGGCTGAGTCCGCCCGTCGGACCCAGTCTGCTCGGCTGGCCCCCCCCCCTCCTCCGCCTCCTCTCCGCCTCCGTTCTGCCTCCGCCTCCTCCTCCTGCGCCGCCGCCGCCGCCGCCTCCTCCTCCTCCTCCTCCTCCTCCTCCTCCTCCTCCTCCTCCTCATCTTCCCCATCCTCCCCCTCCTCCTCCTCCTCCTCCTCCTCCTCCTCCTCCTCTCCTCCTCCTCCTCCTCCTCCCTCCTCCTCCTCCTCCTCCTCCTCCTCATGCTCCTGGCCCTCCTCCTTCTTCTTCTCCTCCTCCTCCTCCTCCTCCTCCTCCGCCCGATTCCTGATTCCTGATGGCTGTAGGGTTCGCCGAACGCAGCCACGCTCAGCTCAACCCCCGAGGGCTGAGCCGGTGTTGAACATGTGGCACACCAGCCCAGCCAGGAGGGGGGGCTTCCCTTGGAGGAGAGGGAAAACGACGGACGGGGGACGACCCGAGAGGGCACATGGGAGTAGGAGCAAGAGTGGCGAGGAGCGGGAGGGCAGCAGGCACGACGAGGAGAGGCGGAAGAAGAGCGGGGACAGGCCCCGAGTTATCCAAAGAGCCCGTCAAGTGCCCCCCCCCCCCCCCCCCCGAAATGACAAAGGGACAGGGGCACAGACGCAATGCAGCCGTGCCAGCGACGTGCCAAAAGCGAGTGAAGACGCTCTGGAAGGAGTTCCGGTGTCTCGATCTCGCCTTTGCGGCTGGTGACTGGTGGCTGGCACAGTAGGCACCCACGCTCCCCCTCCTCCTTCCCTTTCTGAAGCAGTGGCGAAGCGTCTTGGCGTGCCTATAGGCCTACCAAACAATGTTCTAAGAACGGCTTGTGGTTTCAATGAAATGTTCTTAGAACAGCTCTGGCTTGGACTGTCTTGCTTTAACACAACGGAATGGTTAGGTTCTTAGGACGTGTCTGTCTTCTAAGAATATCTCGTGGTAGGCCCATCAAACTTCCAGGACGGTCGGTCCATGCTCAATTTCCTCCTCCTCCTCCTGCTCCTGCTCCTGCTCCTCCTCCTCATCCTTCTCCTCCTCCTCCTCCTCCTCTTCCTCCCCTTCCTTCTCCCCTCCTCCTCCCCTTCCTCCTCCACCTCCTCCTCCTTCCTCTCCCTCCTTCTCCCCTCTCCTCCTCCTCCTCCTCCTCCTCCTCCTCCTCCTCCCACTCTCCTCTCCCTCCCTCCCCTCCTCCTCCGCCTCCTCCTCCTCCTCCTCCTTATCATCATCATCATCGTCATCTCCATCGTCATCGTCATCATCAGCAGCATCATCCTTCTCCTCCTCATCATCATCAGCATCAGCATCAGCATCATCATCATCAGCAGCATCATCATAATCCTCCTCCTCCTCATCATCATCAGCATCAGCAGCAGCAGCAGCACCATCATCATCATCATCATCATCATCATCATCATCATCATCATCATCATCATCATCATCATCATCATCATCATCATCATCATCATCATCATCATCATCATCATCATCATCATCCTTGTCCTTCTCCTCAACAATCCCCCCCCTCCAGTTGGCTGGGTGCGGCACCCTCCTGTTCCCCATTGAGGCTCGTTGTCGGGTGCAGAGGCGAGAACGGCGCAGAATAGTACAGGGATGAACGATCGGAATTCGATGGTCTTGCACGCCGCCTCCCAAGCCGCCCCAGCCGGGTGGTTGGGCAGTGCCTTCTTCGACTGTCGTGTTGTGGTGTGCACGTGCTCCGCCCCCCCTCCTCACGAGCCCTACGGTGGGCCAGCCAAACAAGAAAGGAGCCGACGCGGGGACAAGCGCGGCGCACTCTGCTCGAACCGAGCGGCCTTCCAAAGTGGCTGCTGCGGGAGGAGCCCCTCCGCCGCCGCCGCCCCCAGGTCCTCCTCCTCCTCCTCCTCCTCCTCCTCCCCTCCTCCTTCTCCTCCTCCTCCTCCCTCCTCCTCCTCCTCCTCCTCCTCCTCCTCCCCTCCTCCTCCTCCTCCTCCTCCTCCTCCTCCTCCTCCTCCTCCTCCTCCTCCTCCTCCTCCTCCTCCTCTTCCTCTCGTTTATGCTCGTACATTTCCTCCCCCCCTTCTAGTTGGCTGGGCGCGGCGCCTTCGTGATTCTCACTGAGGCGCGCTGTAGGGTGCAGAGGCGAGAAGGGCGCAGAGGATCGCAGCGGTGGACAAATTTTGCTTCGACGGTCTTGCACGCCGCCTCCCGATGACATCCACCTCCTCCTCCTTCTCCTTCTCCTCCTCCTCCTCCTCCTCCTCTTCCTCCTCCTCCTTCTCCTCAGCAGCAATCCCCCCTCCTCCAGTTGGCTGGGTGCGGCGCCCTCCTGGTCCTCACTGAGGCGCGTGGTAGGGTGCAGAGGCGAGAAAGGCTCTTCAAGGATTCGGTGGTCCCGTCAGCGTCTTCAGGGCCAGGAAGGGCGGCAGAGAAGGAGCTAATTAAGGTGGCGGCGGGCGCGGAGGGAGGCATGAGGAGAAGGTTGGGTGAGGGCCGGCTCAGGGTCAGGTATCTCTCGGGGCGCAGCCCGTCTGCGGGCGGCCACTGGTGACCGCAAAATGGCGGTCCCAAAGCTTCTTCCCGCTCATGCAGGTGACTTCTTTGGCTGCTGACTCCTCTTTCGTGTACTCGACGGTGGCCGAGTTGTCAAGAGCTTCGATCACCACTGTATGTCCGAACAAGGAGAAAGTGGCTTGAGTGGCAGCGAGATCCATGTAGCAGCTGGTGTAGATGAGGATGGAGCGGTGGCCAGTGCATCGAGGCTGCGCTGACCCTTGTCTGCCTCGGGGCTATGATGCTCCAACCTACTTCAGCCTGGATCACCAGAAGTCATTCCGAGCGCCAAGACAGCACCGAAACTGGAGGATCATGCGTCGGGCCCTGGGAGGCGATACTCATTCGACGCCTCGCTAGCGTGTCGGGTGGAGACCGTTTCGATGCTTCTCTGGGGGCTCGAAAGTACTTCTGGGACGGGGCCCTCAAGTACGGGAGGGGCAGCACAACCCGGGGCCGGCTGCCGTCGGGACCCGCTTCCCCCATACGGCGAGCCGAGCCAGCGGCACACCTCGGCAGCCGCGGAGGCTGGCGGAAGGGTCGAGGGAGGCCGGCGGGAGGCTGGCGGGAGACGGAGGAGGGCGAATCCGCTCGGCCCTGGCCGGCTGGAGGGTCTCTCCGAAGGGCTTAGGCGACCCGGTTTCCTCCTCCTCCTCCTTCTCCTCCTCCTCCTCCTCCTCCTCCTCCTCCTCCTCCTCCTCCTCCTCCTCCTCCTCCTCCTCCCCCTCCCCCTCCACCTCCTTCTCCTCCTGCTCCTCCTCCCTCATCCTCCTCCTCCTCCTCCTCCTCCTCCCTCCTCCTCCTCCTCCTCCTCGGGTCGCCTACGGCCCCGGGGGAAACCGTGCACCGCCGGCCGCGTCTTCGCGCTTCGGGCAGCAGGCCCGCGTCGTGCGGGCCCGCGGCGGAAGGCCAGGCGCGGGCGCTCGAGGCGGAACGCCGCCCGTGGCCCAGCATCGGCCGAACGTGGAACGAGCTGGCGCGTGCTAGAAGCGGCCGGTCGCTCATCACCACCCACCGAACCACCCCAGCCCAACCCGAAGGCCTCAATTCGCCTTCCATTTGCAATGAGGGGGGGTCGGGGAACATTGAAAAAGGCATACGGAACCCGTACCCCCCCAAACGAAATTCGGGCCTTCGGGTTTGGGTGGTGTGGTAGGTCGTCAGTTCAAGTCTGAACGATCCCCGCGGCCAGGAGCCGACGCGGTGTCGACACTCGCACGGACCCGTGGCATCGCCACTGAAAGGAGGGGGGTCCTGGAGACAAGGGGTCTAGAATGTCTGGTTTTCGCCGTTCTCGGCATCTTCGGTCCGTCAACAAAAATACAGCTCGGGATGAAGAGCCAGTCGAATGGAAAGCCCCATGGTTTTGGACCCGCTTCTCTCAGGGCCCGTTTCCCGCGTGGCAGGGTGATGGAAGATGGATCCCGAGTTCGGAAGCGGAGAAAAATGAAGTCGGGCATGTCCCTCTCCAGGAGGAGTAATCAAAATTAGCCTGGCGAAGGACCCAACCATCTGTAGTTGTGAGCACCGCTTTTTATGCACCGTATTCGGAGGAGCTCCTTATAGGGCCACGAAACGTGTGAGGGGTGTGCCAAAATTTGTCCAGCGGGCGCATGCGAAAGCAGCCACTGGGGCCGTCGGTGGAATTCCCAATTGGACCACGAAACGCGTGAGAGGTGTGTCGAAATAGGTGCGGTGGGCGCAAGCGAACGCAGCCATTGGGACCGTCGGTGGAGCTCCCTATGGTGCCGCGAAACGTCTGAGGGGTGTGCCGAAATGGGAACGGTGGGCGCATGCGAGTGAGGGGTGTGCCGGAATGGGCGTGCGTGACGCATGCGGGCGGTTAGCACTGGAGCATTCGGTGGGGCTCCGTATGGGGCCACGAAACGTGTGAGGGGTGTGCCGACATGGGTGTGCGTGACGCATGCGGGCAGTGGCATTGGCGCTTTCGGTGGGGCTCCGTGTGTGGGGCCACGAAACGTGTGAGGGGTGTGCCGACATGGGTGTGCGTGACGCATGCGGGCGGTGGCACTGGGGCCTCCGGTGGAGCTCCGTATGGGGCAACCAAGCTTGTGAGGGATGAGCCGACATGGGTGTGCGTGACGCATGCGGGCGGTGGCACTGGGACCTTCGGTGGAGCTCCGTGTATGGGGCCACGAAACTTCTGAGGGGTGTGCCGAAATGGGTGTGCGTGACGCATGCGGGCGGTGGCATTGGGGCCTTCGGTGGGGCTCCGTGTATGGGGCCACGAAACGTCTGAGGGGTGTGCCGAAATGTGTGTGCGTGACGCATGCGGGCGGTGGCATTGGGGCCTTCGGTGGGGCTCCGTGTATGGGGCCACGAAACGAGTGAGGGGTGTGGCGAAATGGGTGTGCGTGACGCATGCGGGCGGTTGGCACTGGGGCCTT